TGTCCTATCGTTCTTCGGAAGAGATTTTCCTTACATACCACTACGACTTCAGTAGAAGCGCTCGTCTGAACAAGCAGCCATCTTGTTTATGTATCACCTGAGTTTTCCCACTAAGATTTTGCAAGTATTTTCCGTATCAGTGATCTACGATATCATCCACTTAGTTAAGGTTCCAACTCCGAATTGTCAAGCTATCCCAAGCTTTGGCTGGGCCATAAAAGCAGCTCTTTCATTCCGTGCTAAGTCTGTGTTGCACGCTCCAATCGACTTAGTAGCTGCCCTGGATAAAGCGTTCACAATCCAAACTATTCCCGACAAACTTCGTCAGTTCATGCAATCGCTGATGTGCACTTAGTCGAGGATCCACAGTACCACATCTGCACATATGAGTATCAATAACTCATATGGGACTTCCACAGTCGGATCTATTAGGCAGTTTTTTTTAGTGCGTCCTAGTAAAAACTTAATAGTCGTGAATTATGATTTAGACTCCAGTGATCCTGCAGGTATCGGAAATATATTTTCTCATCGTCATACCATTTAAGTTGCTATTAGTTGGCTGAATTGAGACGACCTATAGAATCCACGATTCGTGGTCCCATAAAAATGATATGACGGCATTACCGAACTTCACTGTTCGGACGGCTCGATTGGGCCCTTTTCGGCTTCATGCAATGCCTCTCTATCCGCCGTCTTCGTCTGCATTTCCGCTGATGTTATATGCTGGGCGGACATTTGCGCGCCGTACTCCGAAGCCTCCTGCTTCTCAAGCGTCGATGTCAGATTGCTGCGTTCGTATAAAAAAGAACGCAAAGGGGCTGGTAAATTGTCGTCGAAAATATGCAAATTGGCCGCCTTCACACCTGTTAACAACCAGTCCCACCAAGGACTGGACCAAGTTTCTTCCATGTGTACGTCATCCGTGTTTGTGTCCGGTACGTTACAGGTTGATAACAGGAGGAACTCCGATGCTATGCCGAACCTGCAACTGCTTAGAACGCAAACCACTGCGCCGCTAGCATCTATGCTGTCTTTCAACTCATACCTAGTAGAATCGTGTAAATAAATGGACCGGGCGCACGCTGCTCTGTGACGCAGCCAGTTGTAATGCGTATAGCATAGATTCAAGTTAGCCGACTCTGAACTGTTTGTGGCATACACTGGGACGCCGTAGTGCACTGTAATGCAGCTGGTAGCTCGCTGAAGTGT